CCAAAAACAATGATATTGTTTAAACCAAAAACAATGATATTGTTTAAACAAAGGGGAATGGGAAAAAGAGCAGCCTGTTGTAGATGCGTAGGATTCTTCCATGAATGAGGAATCCTACCATGGGGAGATTAGAGAGGCTCCACTCTTAGTTATTTGCAAATAGTTACAATAGATCTCATTAGATGACAAAGATACACCGTATTTTTCATAAGACACACCAAGATTTTGAAGAGGTAAGTAAGAAAAAAAAGTTTTTGTCCTCCCCACCCCCCAGGAGTACTGCAGGCTTCAGCAGGGTTGTGGGAAGACAAAAATGCCCCCGTTTTTGCGAAAAATGGGCAGAAAACGGGCCATTTTTAGCAAAAACAGAGGTGTTTTTGCCTACCCCCAGCCCTGCTGAAGCCTGCAGAGTGCTGCTGGGGGCTGGGAGGGGAGGCAAAATTGCCTCCATTTTTTTGCAATAAACAACCCATTTTTTGCAAAAATGGGATGCAGGGGCAGGGATTTGGGAGGCCAAAAATGGTTGTATTCGGTGTATAAGATGCACTAATAGTTCCATGCTCTTTTAAGGGGGGAAATGGTGTGTCTTATACTCTGAAAAATACAGTAAGTAAGAGAAGATCTGGATAATCCCAATTTTTCAGATATTAAAAAGAGTTTGCAAAGAATCAATCATTTTAAAATTAGGAAGCTATCAACCACAATAATTTATAAATGAAATCTATAAGTCAAATTATCTTATTTTTTATAAGGGTTATGTTGATAAAGTTCCCAACTAATTGTTAGGCTGATAACATCAGCTTCTCTATTCTTTCAACTGTTCTTAATCCACTTATTGTTAGTAGTAGATAAGCAAGAAAACGTTTCAAGTTTATCTAACAAACATAATTATTCCTGGTCTGTAAAAAGGCAGATAGGCAATTTGAAGGCAATATCAGTGTTGGCTATTGTTGTACTCAGCTTTAGTTTGGATATGTACCTTCTAAATTCAACTTTGAAATGAGTGTCAGATTTTGGTAGTGTTTTTGAAGAATAAAGACTCATTGACTTGGAGATAACAATTTTTGACCTCTCGGCGGCTTTCGATACCATCAACCATGGTATCCTTCTGCGACGACTGCGGGAGGTGGGGGTGGGAGGCACTGTCTTACGGTGGTTCTCCTCCTACCTCTCAGACAAGTCGCAGTCGGTGTTAGTGGGGGGGCAGAGATCGTCCCCGAGGCCCCTAACATATGGGGTGCCGCAGGGTTCGGTCTTATCCCCCCTACTATTTAACATCTACATGAAACCGCTGGGCGAGATCATTCGGAGGCACGGGATAAAATACCACCAATACGCGGACGATACACAGTTGTATCTGTCCGCCCCGTGCCAACTCAATGAAGCGGTGGACGTGATGAACCAGGGCCTTGAGGCCGTTAAGAACTGGATGAGTGCTAACAAACTGGTACTCAACCCGGACAAGACCGAGTGGCTGTTGTGTTTCCCTCCCAATAATTTGGCCAGTGTTCCATCGCTCAGGCTGGGGGGTCAAATTTTACACCCCTCAGATAGGGTTCGCAACTTGGGAGTCCTCCTGGACCCACAGCTGACTTTTGACCATCACTTATCGGCTGTGACCAGGGGGGCGTTCGCCCAGGTTCGCCTGGTGTGCCAGTTGCGACCCTACCTGAACCGGGAGGCCCTCACAACAGTCACTCGAGCCCTTGTGATCTCTAGGCTGGAATACTGCAATGTGCTCTACATGGGGCTGCCCTTGAAGAGCATCTGGCGACTTCAGCTAGTCCAGAATGCGGCCGCGCGAGTGATTGTGGGCGCACCACGGTTCGCCCACATAACACCTATCCTCCGCGAGCTGCGCTGGCTACCTGTTGATCTCCGGGTGCGCTTCAAGGTGCTACTTACCATCCATAAATCTCTCCATGGTAGTGGATCTGCGTACTTGAGAGACCGCCTCCTGCCGATTACCTCCCTTCGACCTATCAGATCGCACAGATTAGGCCTCCTCCGAGTTCCATCCGCCAGTCAGTGCCGACTGGCGACTACGCGGAGGAGAGCCTTCTCAGTAGCAGCTCCGACCCTCTGAAACGATCTCCCCGTGGAGATTCGTATCCTCACCACCGTCCAGACCTTCCGCACAGCCCTTAAGATCTGGCTATCCCGTCAGGCCTGGGGATAAGATTCTAATCCGCCCCACCCGAATGTTGAATGAAAGTTGTGTTTTATTGTTATTTTCTTTTTTTATTATTCACGCACAGTTTTATGTTTTTTTGTCTTGCACTCCCCTTCCCATGATTTGTAAGCCGCCCTGAGTCCCCTCAGGGAAAAGGGCGGCCTATAAGCTTTAATAAAATGAAAAAATGAAAAAAAAAATTCAATAGTAATAATTATTACAATTTCTGTTTATAGCTTGCGACCAAAATATTTATTGGAACTGTTTCTATGGGACAAGCAATATCACACTAACATATCTGTTTAGCATAAAATTTCTGGATACAATTAACATTTAAGTTGGGACAAAAGTATTAAAGCAAAAGCCTGATTGTTACATAATAATAACTCATATAATGTGATTTTATTCATTTATCTATTGTCTCAAAAGTAATCAATGCCCTGTGCCAAATCCAGCCTTGAAAATGGACTTCAACAGGTCCTGATAATCTATTTTCTTCATTACATTCTATAGCAGGACTGACAAACTCAGGGCCCAGGGGCAAGGTCCAGTCTGGGGGGATGCTTAGATCTGGTCTGCAGGGTTGCCCTGGAAACAGGGAAGGATTGGTCCACAGTGCCTCTCCCAGTGAAAAGAGAGCTTGGGAGGGCTGCATGCGGCCCTCCCGAACTCCATTTTCATGGGCAGAAGGTTGCAGGAGATCATCGCAGCTGCAAACGGAGCTCGGGAGCCTGTTTTCCCTTGCAGAGTGCTCAGGCCATCACAGAAGCCCCTGACATGAGTGATGTTGAGATGGCCATGCCCACCATGGTCAAAGACAACCCTGATGCAGCCCTCAATGAAATCCAGTTTGAAACCTCTTCTCTATTATCAGGATACATATTCTAAAGCACGGGTGTCACACTTGACCACGTCACGTGATATTATGAATCGTGACTTTTTTGCCTTTGCGGAGCCAGGGTAGGCATGACCTGCGTGTGATGCATCCGGGCCGCCAGTTTGACACCCCTGTTCTAAAGGGACAGTTTAATATATCAAAAGCAAATACTGGAATATCCCAGAGCAATTCATTAAAATCAATATTATTTTCATTCGTTCCTAAATTACTACAGAATAATACAGACAAATATCCATTCATAATGACAGAATCCTAAAAAGATTATAAAGTTACCCAAACAATTTATTTTGTACACCGTGCACATTTATAAGACTGGAGGATTATTTTGCATTTATGTTCAAAGTAATCCATATACATGTTAGAAATTATTTTTATTGTCATGTTTTCATATGCAAGTAAACAATCCATTATATTCAGCCTGGTATTGCTGACTAAACTTGGCAAGACAGTAACTGCCAGGGAAAAACACAAACTTCATGTTTGGGATTTTTAGAGGTTTTTTTTAATGTTAACATTGTGTTGTATAATGGATATTTTAATACCTGCCTGAGCCAGTTCTACATTGAAGGCTCTCAGGGCCAAGACAGAGGCACGTGATTCAGCAGGCAACAGCAGCGCACACAGGAAGCCTTCATAATCCCGTTTTCTAGATATACAAAGAATAAATAAGAACATTTGCTTTCATCACAAGCTCATTTAGCCAGTGGAACAGATAAAAAGTGTCTCAGTTCAATTATGTTTTTAATTCTATTTATTAATCAAATTGGTATGGTTGCCCATCTCACAGAAAGTGATTCCAAGCAGTACACAAAAATCATTTTGCACTTATTCTCTAGATCAAGAGAATGTAAACTGATACTCTCCATATGGTCCAGTTTACAATTCTTAGAACTATAAAGCACTGATCTGCAGGCTGGCGAATGAGAATTGTAGTCCAGATCTTCAGGAGCACCCATTCCTCTTCTGAAGTAAAAATATATACTCAACACACAATGCCTAGGATTTATTTTAAAATTAAGGTTACATCATGTCTTCAAAATTAACTTGGCACTATCTGAAGACAACCACAAAGTATTAAATAATAGGCTCTATCCCTAAAGAAAAAGCAACATATTTTTGCTGGTCATCAAAAAATAGTTCTGGCATCATTAGTTTATTTTTCCAACAGACACAAAGCTGAAAATTTTTTGTAATAAAATGGTAGAATGGGTTGTAGCATTACAAACAAGGGCTTGCATTTATGAAAGTCAAATCAAATCAATTTATTACAGCTCTAAGACCAAATGCAGTAACAAATTTAACAGTAGAATTGTTAAATACATACTGTACATATGACAAGAAAGAGAGTAAGTATAACAGGATCTATAAAACGTTTATGGGGGGAAATCAAGTTCTAAATATAGAGATGTTCCAAATTAAGTTTGAAACAGCACAACACACATTCCATTTCTCTGGCTAGTTCCTCTTTAGTTTTAGATAATCAAAAAGCTTTGACTACAAAAGGAGATTTGTAGTTTTATTGTAGAATACCATTTATGCTTTACCCAACGTGCTTTTAGAATACACTTAAAGGAGCCTGGTGTGCTATGATCCATGATGTTGGTCCAAGAGTTGGACTCAACTTAGCGACAGAACAACAACCAAAACCATATAGTCTTGGGGGAAAATAAAGAATAAACCCGAAAAATGGGCAAACTATTTATTCTGTGGTCGCCGCTGCAAAAAATCAGGAGATGACACTGCAAAAAATCAGGGGCGGTCACCAACTGGTGGTCCATGGACCACTGATGGTCCACGAGGAAAGTTTGGTGGTCCGCAGAAAAATTATTTGCAATTTTTATATTGCACTAAATACTATTTATCTTTTTTTTTAATCATATTAGTGGTCTGCGGGATTTAAAATTATGAATTTAGTGGTCCCTGGGGTCCGAAAGATTGGTGACCCCTGCTCCAGAGGACAAGCACAATGGATACTGTACTAGGAATAGCAGTCTAGCCAAGACGTGTGCAAATACAGCTCATCTGTTTGGAACCCGCATATCAGACATTAATACAATCGAGTGAGCGCAGAGATATTTCACCAGAAGAATCCTCCATTCCTCTGCTCGTAATAGAATATCTTATGCCACCAGACTTGAAATTTTGGGCTTGGACAACTTAGAACTTCGCCGTCTTCGATCCCACCTAAGCGTAGCACATAAAATTATCTGCTACAATGTCCTACCTGTCAATGGCTACTTCAACTTCAACCACAACAACACACAAGCACACAACAGATATAACCTTATGGTAAACCGCTCCAAACTCGATTGCAGAAAATACAATTTCAGCAACAGAGTGGTCAATGCCTGGGATGCACTACCTGATACAGTGGTTTCTTCCCCAAACCCCCAAAACTTTAACCTGTCTACTGTCAACCTCACCCCATTCTTAAGAGTTCTGTAAGGGGTGTGCATAAGTGCACCAACGTGCCTATGGTCCCTGTCCTAATATTCCCTTGTACTTGTATCCACCTCATGTATTAATAATCATGTTTATACTTATATCTGTTATCTAATTCATGCTTGACGAAATAAATAAATAAATAAAAATACAATAAATGATGTACAATGAGAAGAAAAAATGCACAAGGGGGACACCGGGACTCTTTGGGGAGACGCCTGGGATATAAATGTCATATAGAAATGTTAAATCCCGGGAGAGGAAGCTGGGAAGCGAATACACTGACTCTCCCCAGCAACATTAAGACACGGCCTCGGCTTGCAGGTCGTTCTCAAGGGCGACTGGAGCACGTTCCGCGCCTCTAACGTCACATTATCTAAACGTGTGCAAATCAAATAGGTGCCAAACCACATCCCGGAGGGAGATTGTCCTGCTTATCCTGCCCCAGTCCGGTCCGGTCGAGTCCAGCCCAGGTCCGACTTCGACCCCACGGCAGAACCCGAAGAAGCAGCCACCGGCCTCACCGCAGCAAATCCAGGCAGTAGCGCTCCTCTCCTCCCGCACTCGGCTGGTTGGAAGCGGCCAGGGCAGCCGGCGCGCGCCCTCCGAGGCTAGCTGGGATCAGCAGCCGCCCGCGGTCAGCGCGTGGCACCCGCAACGTCCAAGGGGGAAGAGCCGCGCGCGAACTTCGGCCCAGCGCCGCGGCGCCCGCGGAGGCCGCCATGCTTGCTAAGGCCACGCCCAACGCCCCCCACTTTTGTCAATGACAACCGCCGGCGACGCTTCTTTTGTCACGGCCCAGCTATGTAATCGGAGGCTCTCCAAGGGCTCCGCCTCTGCTGTCAATCATTGGACGCTTAACTGCCCACCCCCCCGCCTTTCTTCGTTTACACGTGCTGTTCCCCAATCGGATGGGGTTCCCTCTAGAACGGGGATCACCTTGGCAACTTTAAGCCTGGAGGACTTCAACTCCCAGAATTCCCCAGCCAGGAAAGCTGTCCTCCAGGCTTAAAGTTCGCTGGGGAATTCTGGGAGTTGAAGTCCTCCAGGCTTACAGTTGCCAAGGATGGAGACACGCCCCCCCCTCTAGACGCCTTATCTCTTAACCCGTCAATTTCCCTTAAGACAGCCCGGGCTTTCTGCCTTGAAATCAGGAAGGTAGGGGCGTCCCAGTGCAGGCTCCTGCGCTAGGCATCGGATTCTCCCCAATAGACTTGGGTGGATGTTGCTTTCCGTTTCTCTGTAAAACTCTTGAAGATCTATTCGTCCTCTATTAATTATAGTTATATTAATTATATTATATTAATTATATTATGTTATGTTATGTTATGTTATATTATTATATTATATTATATTATATTATATTATATTATATTATATTATATTATATTA